GTAACGCTGAAAAAAGTAATCACTTTATTATCAATGCCTTTTTAGTGCACTTCTTGCTTTTTCCATAGCAACAGCAGTTACAAAGGGCAGAAAGTGCTGTCCTCTATCATTCTAACATTCTCAGATTTTTTTTTTTTTTCTTTCTTCTTACCAATACTTCCATGAGACTGAGCGAATGTGTTAATGAAAACACAAAAACCTTCCATGGAAAAACACAAAAGAAACCTCTATAATGTGAAAGCAAGGAAGATACTTTTTGAAGATGGGTGGTAGTATTGAGCATGGCAGAGAACAGACTAAAAACTGTCATAAATATAAATTCTTCACACCTAAAGCTTAACAGTGGAAAACCTACTGGCATGGGATTGCAACACGTACATACATGAAGAAAGCAACAAGCTAGAGCACAGCTGTGCACACCGTGTAATTCCCAAGCTAGTGCTGTAATTCTCGACTAGTGATAAAAAGGAGTGATTAGCTTCACGGCGCTCTGGCCCAGTGTTAGTGCTGTCCAATTTAATTCTTGGTTGAGAGAGACAAACTAAACAAAATACACGTTTCTAGTGTCGTCTTTGTTCACGAGGGTTTACTGCACGTACAAATCCAGGAAAAAATCCAAAGCCCAAACCTTACACAGCCATGGCTGCATTGCAAAGAATAGGCACTGCTTCCAGGAAGACCTGAGTGTGCTTAACACTAGTAGCACGTGCTATTTGTGGAACACCATCTTCTATATCAAACAAAATAGATTTGCAACTGTAGCAGATTACAAAAGAAAACTGGGAAGTCGGAAATCTCTCACGTATTTCAACACAGCTTCTAAGCAAGTTACGAAGCAAAAATGGAGAGTGACACTCAGGAAAGAAAGAAACTCCTGCTCAAGTGAATCCACAGAACAGATTCTTTGTGGTATGCTAGAAGCAGATCATATTCCTGTACCTCTTCCGATTATTCAGAGAGACAGTTTACAGCACACACAGCACAACCGCATGATTTTTGAAGCTTGTCCTGAAATCTCTGTGCATCTATGTGTCACAGAAATGCCCTATTTAAAAGCCAGATAAAACCACTACTTCAGAATCCCCAATTGATTTCATATTCTTTGAAATGGAATCCACCTATCCAACTTTGGTGCAATGCTTGCCCTTTAAAAAAGGAAGGGAAATAATCACTGTCAAAAGGCTAAATGCTGTTTTAAGACTTAATGTTTTAGAAGCTTACCTTGCAGCCTTCACATGTAATGACACCATAATGGATTCCTGATGATTTGTCTCCACAGATCTTGCATGGAATAATTTCAATTTGAGCTGCAACAGAAGCACGCAACCAGTTAATTACATTTTCTTTTAAACACCTTATAAAAGCATTCCCTGATCAGCATTTGTACAGTGAAAACTAATAACCTGCTAAACATTATACTGCATTAACTATTCATTGCTGAACTGCAAGGGTCCCCTAGAGCTTTGGACTAAATGATGGCTGCTCGTTATATAATAGCTTTTGGGTTATTAAAATGGGTCATTTGAGAAGGTGCTTAAGAACCCACAAGAAGGCTAGAATCAGCATTTCAAAGCCAAAAAGAATAGGAGACTTCACGTTTTGGCCAAAGAGCTAAGACGACACTAGAAAGGTTTCCTCCAGTCTTATTCCTGTGAGATCATAAAAGGCAATTTTGAAGTTTGCCCTGCCTGAAAATGAATGCAACACCTGTACCGGAGGGGTCACCGTCATGCCATCCAGTTCACACGACTGGCCGATCCGAAAGGGAAGTAGCAAGGTTTTTACACAAGAAATCCAAAACTCACGTATCTGAATGGAAAGCGAATTATCAGTACGTATTTGCGTATTAGATACCACAGAACAAACGAGGGAGAGAGGCACAGCAGTGTTCCAGCCAACTTACAAAAGCCAAAGGAGTCGGCGCAGTTTGGAAAATGCCGTAGACACATGTGATACGAAAGCCCCAATTTTTTAAGTTGAACTTCACACATATAAAACACACCTGCTGAATTCGGTTTAGCATGTGACAGAACTCTCCGCATGTATCCCTAAATCACAGCAACTTCCCACCTGAATACATGGATTTAAGAGGGGACTCCTGTATGCTCAGGAATACCTCTTTGACTGCTTTTGCAGTATATGGCTGCAGTCATTGTGCTGGCAAGTCTTTTTGCGTAGGACCATGCTGAGGCCGTGCTCCACGATACCAAAGACCAGCAGTCCACATTTTACATATGCTTGCACGTGCTCACAGAAACACAGGCTGTAGGTAGGTAACCACAAAATCCCAAGAAAGCCCTTTCTCTGCCACAGCGGTGGTCGGAGCAGGCTACATCAGTTTTCCTGAACTGGCTTAGTCCGAACAGGAGCACAAATGCAACTCTTGCTGTGTCCCTGACTGCGATACATTAACAATCAGCAGTGCCGTTCATCTCCTGTGAGGAGCTGAAATCCATTTGCAAGATGCCCGATTGTTCCAGAGAGCTTTTATTTCATCCAGTTTACAGCTACCCAGACTGTAACACACATAAAACCAAATCTAAAACTATCTTACAATGCATCACCGTAACTTTAGTTGTACTCTTAACACTGTTTTCAAAAAGTCATGTCCACTCTCACAAACGCTACGTTTCGCATGCCATTTCATCGCAGCCCAACATTGCAGCTCAGGACCAGGCCAAAACCATAACATAACTGTAAACTAGAAGACCAGAAGACTTCTAGCACAGCACTGACTGCACTAAAGTAGTCCTTCAAAATATTCTCCAGATGACATCAAATGCAATGATGGGAGCAGCTGAGTAGGACCTGAATAGAACCCATTTGCTCCCAGGAACCTAACGGCAGCTAAAACGCTCTGCTGAGGAAAGCAGTGCCCAGCAGCTGCGGGACTACATTGCTGTTTTCCTGACAGTTCCGTATCAGCAGCTTTCAAAATACTTTCATACAGCAGGACACTGCTTGCATCTGCTTCCACCATAAGGATCTTTGCATTCTTGACCTTTAATCCCCCACCCTCCCTGCAGCAACAAACCGATAGGCTGGAATTAAAAGGTCTGTTTAGGACACTTAAGAAAGGAAATACTTCTTCCCTGCAGTCCTACAAAAAACCTGTTTTAATCTCACTTTGCTCTCAGCTAACACATTAAACACAATGGAGCAGGAAGTGAACTAATAAAAGGGAAAAATAAAGCGTATGCTATTTTATTAATGTTACATTGATTTTTACTAGGGCATCGTAGGTTTACGAACCAAGGCTGGAGCAGAAAGGGCAGCATAAGCCCACTTTACATCAACAAATTGAACACAGACTGAAATTCACAGACACTCAAAATTGGTATAATGTGCGGTTCAAATCCAGAGAGCAATCCTGTGGGCAAAGTCTGGAATAGATCTACCGATTCCCAGTTGTGCCGTTTCAATACATGGTTATTTTTCTACTCTGCTGCAGTGAATCAGCAGCCCTCTCCAGCCCCTCTGACAGGGCAGTGACAAGGCTTATCTCAACAGCTACATGGCGATGTATTTTTCACATTTCACTTCTATACACATAATTACTGCCGTATTTTGAATAGGTATGAGATAATTGGATCTTGTTTATCTACAATCACCAGCACATTAGTTAAATCACCCATGAAGCCTGTCTATGCAATCCCTATTCCTTAGCAGTAGGACGTTTGTAGAGTGTTTCTGAAGGAATGTAATGTGCCTTCAAAGCGATGGCCTAAAGACAGGTTACTAATAGTCTAGAAGGTGCCATAATTAGGCCCAAATGCATTTTCCAGGGTGCTTTCCTGTTGGAAGAGAATCTCCTCAGATTCACAGGCTCCAGCTGTGCCAGCATTTGCCGACCATTGTGTGTATGAGCAGCGGCATCGAATCAGGTATAATTTTAGCATTCCTGATTTCCTCACGTTTACCACATCTTCAAGGTACTTACTTTCAACTAAGCACGCAGCATTTAAAACTTCAACTTATCATTTCACTCTGCGGCACAGGGCAGCAGGAAGAAACTCAGAAGCATAAATCGCTGGGGACTGCCACAACCAATTGTATTACAAATTAATGCACGGAAAGACATCAGATCAATTACTGCTCCACGTGGTTGCCTTTGCAAATCAACTCATTGAAATGGAATCCCTGTCACAAGTTCATACACTTTCCATATAGCATGAAAGGACTTAGATACTTTAAATGTACTAAATGCAAATTGCCTGTGCCAAGATTATGCATTTTTCTCACAAGGGTGAAAATATTTTCCCCACTTTTAACTTTGACATGCAAATATGTACTTGCTAAAACCTTGTTCTTATGCAAACAAGGCAGGTGGGAAATATTTTTACATGTCAAGAATATGTTCCAACTTGGTTTCTCACATTCCCAGAGTTACTTAGAGCTTCCTACCATGCTCACGTTAATTGTACCTGTTCTGTGCTTACATATATTTATATGGTATATTTTCCAAGATTATATAAAATACTCTAATTCATGCTTTAAGACTAGAATTAGCCTAAATTACAGTTTACAATTTCTGTCTCCTGGGGTGGTGCTCAGGCTGATTCTGGTTCATGCATGAGCAAATTATTTCTTAAATGTGAATTGCAGAAAAAAAATAAACTCTTGTGGTTGCTTAGAAACCGCTACAGATATCCAGGTGACAGATGTAGTTTGTATTCCCAGATTAAAGGCCTAAGAATCTTTCACACTCTGAAATAACAGTGCTCCAGAATACTACCAAGGATGTCCTGTGCCAAAGGCAGCAATGAATAGGAATAAAAGCCCAAACAAACCACCAAGAGCAACGAATGCAAACTCAAGCACAAAGACCCACCGCAACCACTGAACAAGTTGCTACAGAAACGGCTCCTGAGAGAGAGAAGTGACCATTGAGGGCTGGAGGTAGGAACCGTTACAAACTGACGTCAAACACAAGGCAAACTCGTCTCTGTAAGAAAGGGCATCTGACATCCACTAATATCTCTCAGTATACTTGACCTCAGCATGTAGCTATTCCTATTGCTGGAATGTCTGGTAGTCTTCCTTCTGCTCTAACATCATATGATCTTCATTTTACAACAGGAAAATTGAGTACAGACTCTTTGATTTGCTCAGACAGAACAGGAACTTGAGCCTAAGCGTTACAAGGAAAAAAAGCCTGTGTTTTTCCCCTGAACCTTTCTTCTTCCTCCATCCACTGTCTTCACTTGGCAATTGTCTGAAGTAGCTCTGGTATGGTATGCTTAAATTGCACGATTGTCTCCACCTAATTCCTACTGAACATGCCTACCAGACACCCAGAGAGAGTACTCCATGACATCTTTTGTTGGCATCTGGAACACAAGAATATGCCTATTCCCTCCTACTCCAGGCTTCACTTCTTTCCCCAAACCTGGAACAGTTTCACTGGGCTTGCCTGCCTTTTTCAAGCTGTCGCCCCCAACCAAGCCCTCTAGACAGCCTCTTCCTCTCTAAATGCCCACATCATGAAATGCTGCTTCACTCCTTGTCTGGTGTGAGCAGTTGTCCCAGTTTTAGCTGGGACAGAGTTTTTTTTAACAGCCAGAAGAGCTCCCTGTTTTGGTTTCACTCAGAGGCTCACTCTGAGAAGAATGTTGATAGCAAGCTGATGTTTGTGGTTGGAAGTGAAACTCCAAGGACTTTTCAGTGTGCGGAGTACAGAAACACGGCAGGATAAGGGGGGAGCATAGCTGGGACAAGGGGGACACGATTCCCCTTGTCATTTGTGTGGAACTTAAGACTGAGGGCCAAACTGGCCAATTAGTATTCCATATCATGCAGCGTCATGCCCAGTATAAAAGCGAGGGTCAGCCGGGAAGAGGGGCTTTTGCGCTTTTGCTCTTTTTGCACTTTTGCTCTTTTGCGCTTGCTGCGCTGTTGCTCTGCTGTTTTTTTTTCTTTCTCTCTCTCTCTTTCTCTCCCTCTCTGCCCCTCTCTATTTCGGGGCCTCGCGTTCGTCCGGGATTTGCAGTTTTCGGGACGAGACGGGCTTCGCATACGAGGGGTGGTGAGCACCTACATTGTATTAAATCATCTGTATTAAATCACTCTTATCTCAACCCACGGGTTTCACATTTATCCTTTAATTCTCTCCCTCATTCCTGGGGGTGGGGGAGGGGGAGTGACCGGCTGTGTGTGGGGCGGTTCAACATAACCCACGACAGCAGTAGAAGAGGAAAGAAATCCAATTCTGTATTTGTAAGGAAATGCTCTGGTACAAGCTCATCATTATCTTCAGTTTCTTCCTTTCTAACTCCTTGAGCAGACTCCAATCAGCACAAGAGCCCATATAGCCAAGTAAAGCACAGGGCACCTTTCTCCCCAGTTCTGCCATTG